CTCGGTCCAAGCAAATGCCTTTCTCCTTGCGCAGGATGCAGGTGCTGCCCTCCTTTCTCTTTTCACACAGGAATAAACATCCGCCCTCCAAGGAAACCGCCGCATAAAAGGGCACGTACCTAAGACACAGGAGGACAGGAGACACGGCAGACAGGCCAAGCCACACAGGGTCCAGCTCCACCACCTCGTCCTCCACCCGGGGACACGGGGGTCTCTCGGGAGTCTCATATCTATCTTCAGAAATAAACCAGCAAGTTAAGACCCCTTTCATTGACCGCCCCAAGACCATCTCTGTTACGCTTACATCTAGTGGCTTGCCGTGGTCACTTACGCTTACATCTGATGGCAGCGGTGGTCACTTACGCTTACATCTGATGGCAGCGGTGGTCAAGAGCCTCACAACGCCGACAGTAATTCACCTACTACTACGCTCCTTGCCGACGCTGAACCATGCTATCTGCCTACAAGCTACTCCTGTCGAAGTGCCTCCTCGCCTCCTTTAACGTCCAGCCATCGCTACCAAATCTTCTTTGCACCATGTCTACCCTGCTACTTTGTGCTGACCACTCACGTCTGTGCTACCCTCCTGACGAAGTCGCTGACGATATGTTCCCGTATTCTACGCCACCACACTCGCCAATCCGGCTCATCTACCTCGCCAAGTCTTCGCGAACCTTCGTCAGCACAACCATGGAGCCGCCATTCTACTCAGCACCACCAATACTTCCTAGCTACTATTAAAAGTAAGTGTGCCTATTAGTGCCAGATTAACTATTGCCCTCCCTATACCCACCCACACCTTACATACAAGTTGCCTTCTTTCAAGTTCAAGTACATGCCACTCAACGAACACAAACTACTAACTATATAATACATAACTTCTCGCTGTCAACCATTGTTTTTTCAACACAACAAGCGAAGTCACACACTGAGATCAAACACCCACCCACACCTCCCACCTCATTCCCCTTCCCTAACCATACTTTAATTGCTATGGTATTTTTCTGTTATTGTATTTTATCTAATGTTTATTATTGTTGTTTTCACATTGCAGTTCATTATATTTTATTTTCTCTTAGGACAAATAACTATGTATTGATATGTTCGATTTTCCCCGTTATGTTATTCATATTTACTGCTACGATTTTCGCTGTGATATTATTGTTTTCACCTGCATACTGTACCCTATTAGTAAGTAACTCGTTACTACTTCCTCTATGAATGTGCGTATATCGTTCTGTCTTTCACAACACCTGTATTTACTTATACTCCCCACGCTAATCGTTCGCTTTTTCACACATAGGTTTAAGATACATGTCGATTACCTGCCTTAGGTCCAAACCCACCTACCTGCCCACCCTACACGGAATTCACTCTAGGATTATGAATTTTACTAAGTGCCGTCCCTAAGACTTTTAACTGAACCCAAACCGCTTTCATGACGCCCTCTCGAAGTTCGATATCTTATCCTCATCTATGCTAGAATTTATGCTTCTTTAGCTTAAGGAATTGGTGAATATGTAACTTGTATCTGACTGATGGTAGGTAGTCTATTGCAAATGATCATAACGATGATAATGCATTACAGGACACCATACTTCATATAGGCTTACATTATTATTATCACCGCAAGTTAATTTTAAGCCCGGCTCATGGCCGTAACGAAAGAATCCTGCGCCAGCCGCACCGTGATATTACTTACGCTCATACGATTGAAGCGCCCGAAACGCGCACGCCCGGCTCAAGGCCGTAAACGAACGAATCCTGCGCCCGCCGCACCGCGATGTTATTTACTCTCATACGATTGAAGCGCCCAGAAGCGCACGCCCGGCTCATGGCCGTAAACGAAAGAATCCTGCGCCCGCCGCACACTTACGCTCATACGATTGAAGCGCCGAGACGCGCACTGTTAGAATTAAGTTCAGGCCCAGCTGCCTATATGTTCGAAGCATATATACTTGCCTATTTAGCCCAAAGATATGGAATTCTTGTCCAATTACTTTTTCTCTCTTCGGTATGATGGTACTCTACAGAACTCGCTAATCCTAACAAATCCATGTAATTAACACCCACTTACTTGACACATTACCCTTCTCGTAACAAATTATTCTTATTATGCCCTCATTTTTTTTTCTTGCAACTTAGTAAGGTGATTGACAAACACATTTTTACCATCCCCCTTAGCCCTTTTACTGGCCTGGTACACTTATATTTCAGCTTCTGAAGATGATTGACCCTCCTCGCTACTGAATGTTGCACCTCAGTGCGAAACCTCCACCGCACCCGCTACCTTGACGCGCGACGACCCAAGCGACCATCGGATCACCAGGAACCATCTGTAGATACCTAACAGAACCTGTATCTCTATGTGCTACTGCAATGTTCATGCGTTGCAGACGGCTCGAGGACGAGCCTTACGCGCGGCCGAGCGATGTGAACAATACGTAGCAAGACCGGATGGCAGATTCACACCTCAGTCCAAGCAAATGCCTTTCTCCTTGCGCAGGATGCAGGTGCTGCCCTCCTTTCTCTTTTCACACAGGAATAAACATCCGCCCTCCAAGGAAACCGCCGCATAAAAGGGCACGTACCTAAGACACAGGAGGACAGGAGACACGGCAGACAGGCCAAGCCACACAGGGTCCAGCTCCACCACCTCGTCCTCCACCCGGGGACACGGGGGTCTCTCGGGAGTCTCATATCTATCTTCAGAAATAAACCAGCAAGTTAAGACCCCTTTCATTGACCGCCCCAAGACCATCTCTGTTACGCTTACATCTAGTGGCTTACCGTGGTCACTTACGCTTACATCTGATGGCAGCGGTGGTCACTTACGCTTACATATATATATATATATATATATATATATATATATATATATATATATATATATATATATATACATATATATATATATATTCATATATATATGTATGCATTTATGTATATGTATATATGTATGTATGTGTATACACATGTAGATATATATTACATATATATACATATTTATATATATATTGTATATATCTATGTACGTGTATGTATGTGTATACACGTGTGTGTGTGTGTGTGTGTGTGTGTGTGTGTGTGTGTGTGTGTGTGTGTGTGTGTGTGTGTGTGTGTGTGTGTGTGTGCGTGCGTGCGTGCGTGCGTGCGTGTGTCTATATATATAAATATATATAAATATATATATATATATATATATATATATATATATATATAAATATATATATATATATATATATATATATTCGGCATATATATATATAAATATATATATATATATATATATATATATATATATATATATATATATATATGTACGTATACGTATGTATGTATGTGTACATATATGTATATGTATGTTATATATATATTCATATATGTATATATATATATTTATATATGTGTATGTATATATACATATATATATATATATATATATATATATATATATATATATATATATATATATATATGTATATATATATATATATATATATATATGTATATATATATTTATAGATGTATATATATGTATATATATAAATATATATAAAGATATATATATAAAGAAAGATATATATATATATATATATATATATATATATATATATATATATATATATAATCTATTTTGCAACACAATATGTCACCAATGCCGAATAATGAACAAGAAAAAAAATCATACCAAACTAAAAACCTCTGCCAGATAGCACTATTATTTATTATATCCTCCCAGGTCAGCCTCGTTAGTCGATTTACCTACGATGGATGTTGAAAAAAAAAGTTTCCCATTGAAGGTTACGTTTTCTATGAAGATGGATGCATGTTCGTTTTTGTTTTTAGGATAAGTTGTCCGAAGTACGAACATCCAATGTACTATTCGGTTATAAATTTGGAAGTAAATAGCGATTAGTGATTCATAGTGTACTAGACGTGATTATAATACTTGTACTTGGTTCATATTATACTGCTTATTTTCTGAAATATATGTGTGTACGTGTGGGTGCGAGTGCGTGTGTGTAGCATAATGATATACTTAACTTTTTTATGGTCACATGTGGCCTATTAATAATAACCAAATAATAATAATAATAAATATGGAAAAAAAAATGCTCCAAAACGCGTGTTCACTTGAGCAAGAAAGAAAAAAGGGGGGGGACAGTAAATTGGTAATTATAAAAGGAAAATAAACGAACACTATCGGACATATCTCTAATAATATATATTACACATATACAAGTACGTCCAAACATGTGTAATGCTGTTCAAAAATTTCTACATCTACCTACACAATGTCATGAAATGTAGTCCTCCACCTTACTGAACTATTGTAATTCACATTGCGTTTAATAAAACAGAAAACTGTGAAAATAACTCCTGAAGTTCAAGATACAAATACAAAAATGAGATTGCTTAACCTCCGGTTGGTTCCTAACAAAGAGACTAAATATGTATGTTGAAATGCACTTGCACGCACGCACCCACACCCACACCCACACCCACCCACCCACACACACACACACACACACACACACACACACACACACACACACACACACACACACACACACACACGTATATGAGTGTCTGTATAAATGTATGAATACGTATAACACGTATATGAGTGTCTGTATATATGTATGAATACGTATAACACGTATATGAGTGTCTGTATATATGTATGAATATGTCTGTATATATTTAGGTATGTTCGCGTAGGTATGCATGACAGTGTGCGTGTGTTATTAGAACAACGTGGCGCGGGTGAGAGAAATATATTTTCCTCTATTCCACAGTTAATTCACAAAACACGGTCTTTCAAGTGGAAGTTGGCATGAAGCTGGCTAGAAACGTGACACTCTTCGCGTGCATGGAAAGCAGTCAGTCAGAACTCCACATGATGAGGCCCCTTTCGCGCCTCTTTTTCCCGCCAAAAACTGCTGCACATCGCGATGCGCAAATGGCGTTCATAAAAATATGTATGAATGTGTGTGTGTGTGTGTGTGTGTGTGTGTGTGTGTGTGTGTGTGTGTATGTGTGTGTGTGAGAGAGAGAGAGTGTGTGTGTGTGTGTGTGTGTGTGTGTGTGTGTGTGTGTGTGTGTGTGTGTGTGTGTGTGTGTGTGTGTGAGCGCGCGCGTGCGGTATAACGATATACTTATTGTTTGTATACTTAATGTTTATATCTAACCTTACAAACTAAAAACTAAACAAACAAGCAAAAATATCGAAACAAGATGCAGGTAAGCCACTTCTATATCCCTCCCCCTAAATAGACTTAAAAGCATTAATCCAGTTACAGTTCTTCATCAGTGACGAACTCAGGAATCACTCTCCCCACGTCCACAATGGTTACCTCAGATGTCGCACTGCAATTGGCAACTTTCTCTACCACTGACATGCCCTCAACTACCTCGCCAAAGGGGCAGCAAAAATCATTAAAAGAGTCTTTCAATAATATACCAAAAAGAGTTTCATCCTCTACTACTTGGAAACTCCAGCCCGTAATGTAACCTTTGCGTCCCAGTAGTTGATGGATTCCGCCCCACTCAAGGTTATCCATCAGCGCCCTAGCAGTGGGGCCGTCTTCGCTCAGATAACGGCCTCCGCGAAGGCATGTAGTTCCGCTTTCAGCCACGGCATCCAGAAATGTTGAACCCCTGAGCGTGGGGCCGAGATGACCCTGGCACAAGGCTAGGAACTGCTGGCCGCGGCGCAAGCGAGACCAAACCTTGATGCAGATGCGCCCCAGTTTGCCCCTTGCGTTGGCTACGTCCAGGAACACCGTTGGGTCTTCTTGTGGGATCATCAGTAAAATATCAGTCATCTGCAAAAATAAGAATGCATGGAGGCAGTTTTGTAAAATGTAGATTCAGAATTTTGGAGAGCTTATTTCTTGATATCAATGCAATGTGATAAACATAAGCTTTTACAATAAAGTGTTTGGCTGATTTATCCATAAATAAATGAGTGGACATCGTGTCACATCGGTATTCAAATAACTGGAAGGGAAGTTTTAAGCATAATGTTAATTTTGTATGAAGTCCTGTTAAACACATTTCCTCATTTTTAAGCACAATAACAGTAACATAAACGAAACACTGCTAAGGACTACAATAAAATAAATGCAAGGATGAACAGAACAATGCCATACCTTCACCGTGATGTGAGCGTCGATATCTCCATCAGATAGAGCGTAGAGATTAAGGCTTCCTTGTTCCCAAGTCAGCTTTGCTTTCCGGCCATCTGCGTTCAAGGCAACGCAAAAAGTGGTCTTCCTACCTTGGCCTTCTCCCTCCCTACTGTCGGCAGAGTTGGCTGGCTCGTTGTCAGCAGGAGACAACAGCATTTTGAGCTTTTCTAGCTTTGCTAAAAATGGCCTACCACCTCTTAGAACATCATTCAGTCTCTTTGTGTACATGTTCTGGCAACTACTCTCCCTATCCATGGTCAAGGAATGCTTTAAGGCTAAGTAGACTTGGCTTAGAATAAGCGACCTCTCTTCTATAACACTAACTGTCTTCTGCCTTTTTTGTTCAATATTTATAAACTGCTTGTGTGACCGTTTTGTTTCCTCGAAATAGCACCTTGTGCAAATCTCTCTCTCGGAATCTGTGCACCACAGGTCGAGTGGCAAGCCATGCTCAGGACATTTTTCAAGGTATTCCCTCTCCTGAAAAAAGAAAGAAAAATAAGGTTGTGGTATGTTCTAATACTATATTATAGTCTGTTTACTCAGGTCTGACAGCTGGGTTAATAGATTGTTACTTCCAAGGAACATACAACCATGTAGCTCCACTCGAAATTTCCCTAATGTACTTTGACGGCTGTTACTGGTAAGGAACTCTTCATTATCATAAAAAGGGGGAATTTTAGAGTTAGTTAGGATAATTATAACAACAGCGAGTAAATTCTACAAATAATTATGAATCTAGCTACATCTAATATCTCACAGCATACTCTCATTGGTTAAACGTATGGATGTAAGTAATACCCTTTCTTGACCCTAGCAATTTGTGTGATATTTTATGGATTTTTTTTTTGTGCATTTTCTTTAAAAATGAAAAAAAGGAATTGCAATGAAAAAAAAAATCATCATCATAATTATTTTACTGCTACTGATGAAGTTATGTTTGTATTTATTTATTATTTATTATCATGAGGGTGCAAGTCCAAAGGTGTTCTCAGACTAATTCCCCCAAAACACATCTGTTAACGTAAAATGTGAGTATCGTTAAGTTCAGGTTAATGCACTCTACGTCATGCTTATAGTGCATTAACGTGAACATAGCGATGCGTATGGATGAAAGTTTAAGTTAACAAAACATTTGATGAATGCATTTATGTGTAACTGATCTGAGAACACTTTTGGACGCGCCTATCTTTATTTATGCTGTGATTACAAGGTCTACTACTACAACTATTACTATTACAACTATTATTAGTACTACTAAAAGTTTCATTAAGTTGTTATTTTATTCATTTTTAGGGTGGGAAGGCCTGGGACGTCTCTAGATCAAATTTCCAGTTTCCCACCTTTAGCTATAATGCCATTGCATAATTTTCCATCATTTTTTTTTCTCAGTATTAAACAAAACGAAATATGAGGTGATATAACATTTTAGGATTAAGTATATTCCAAAATGTAGTGACCAATAGCAACCGAATAGATCTGAAAGTAATGAACGTATGAGCCGAATGTGCATGATGTGCTTGTGTCTGCAATACTCTGCAATATGTAAAACGAAGTCGGACACAAATAATTCATAAATACACTGGAAAGGACAAATAATATTGTACAGAGTAAAGAAAACCGTCCGTTAACAAATATTTACGGAATGAGTTTGTATAATTGTATTTTGAGATGATAGCATGTGATGCCATCGAATGTCGTTCATCACTCTATAAACCTTCATATTCAAATCTGATTTTCCTTAAAACCTTTACACTTTTTGTAGATTTTTTTTTCTTATTTGGAAACCTGAATCATTCCGTAGCTTACCTGTACACTTTTTCGCTGAGGAATTTGCATACACAAATATATATAAGTAAGAATAAGAAAATAACGAGTTCCACTGACCACTGATCAGTCTTGTTTCAAATGTGTCTAGACTCCAGCTCTCTGAGGTACAGTTATTGAATTCAAAATACCTTCAATGTACAGAGAATTATTACTGCAACAAAGATTAACACTTACCCTTGTATTCGACAGGTAGTCTGATATCCCTAATTGAGCGAAATTTATTGGCAAATCTTCAACAGATTTCCCGGTGTGGAGTCTCTTGCAGACCGGGCAAATAACTTCAGGGAGACTAGTAAGGCATTGCCTGCAGAATGTATGACCACATTCAGGTAGCATCACAGGTTCTCTATCTCCACTTGCGTATATCTCTTTGCATATGACACAGCTGATCTGGTCTCCCATTGTAGCAGCAATGCTGTCCTGTAAACAATAATGAAAATTAAGAAAACAATTCCGTTTGATTCACTAAAAAAGTTTAGAAGGTATTGCATTGTATATATCTGTATACTACATAAACAAATATATGTACATGAAGATACATACATATGTTTATATATATGATGATAGGTAGCAAGATAGATGAATAGATAGACAAATATAAACAGATGTTTATATAAATATATATGCATATACATTAATATATATAATCAATATATATAAAAATATATCTATAATACATATATATACATATGCACGCACCCATATACACATACAATTATTAACGTATGTATGCATGAATGTGTATATAAACACATATACACATACATGCACGAAAATGGACAATATGAAAAAACGGAGTTAAGTGTTTATTTTTCAACGTTTCATTAATGTCAATACATTTCAGCAAATGTTGATACCAGCCTTAAATCCGTCTGAGTAAAACTAAAGTTCATGTGATCTGAACCATCTCAGCGCAACTCTTTTTACATCTTCAACTGACGAAAAATTGGTACCTTTCAATGATTGTTTTCTTTCTTTAAGTTTGGAAACAAAAAGACGTCAGATGTGGCTAAATTAGGGTTGTAAGGTGGATGTCAGACGATTCCCCATCGAAATTCATGTAGCTCTTGTCTGCCGAGCGGGTGCGCTGTCGTCGTGGAAGATACCGTGTTGATGCAGCTTTCCCGGGCGTTTTTCCGACTTTTTTTTCGACAGTTTTCTTAAAACGCGTTCTTAATAAGCAGATATAATTGTTTTCTTGCTCTCGAGGAAATCAACCAGCAAAATCCCCTTTGCATACCAGAAGACAGTGGCCATGACCTTTCCTCTTGAACAGTTAGATTTTGCTTTGACTGGTCCACTTCCACTCCTGGGCAGCTAGGATTAAATTTTGTCCTCGGGATCGTCCTGATAGAGCTATGTTTCGTCCCATCACAATTTCCTGCAAAAAAGCTTCAGAGTCCACTTGTTGAAAATTTCCATTGAAAGATCTACCCTTGTTTGCTGCCGATCAGGGTGCAACAGCCTAGGGACCCCTCGAGCAGAAAGTTTGCTTAGTCTCAAACTTTCCACCAGAATTGTGTGTGCAGAACCCACAGAGATGTTGAGTGTGTCTACTACTGATTCAGTGATTATTCGTCTATCCTTTTCAATTACGTCATGAACAGCATCAATGTTTTCCACATAAGCTGATGTTGATGGCCTGCCACTACAGGGCTCCTTTTCATTTTCGTTCCTTCCACTTCTGAAACAACTAATCCATTTGTAGGTTGTTGATTTCTATGGGGCATTGTTACCATAAACTTGTTCTATAACATCAACGATTTGCCTATTCTCTCAACAGAGTTTCGCCATGAATTTAATATTCTTCCTAGCCTCGATTTTGGTGGATTCCATGTTGCTTGAATGATGCCTGACTTTGAATTGGTGGTAATGCATTATTACCTGAATTTAAGGGTTTATGTTAGAACAAATTATAACATGTTGGTACAAGAATGGTCAAGTGCACTGAAATCAAAATACTTCCTAATGATTTTTAGTTATAGACATTTTCCACTAACTTATTGAAGCCCCCTAATGCATATTCTTTTTTGTAGCATTTCCAAAACTCCAAACATAAATGCTCATCCAGTATGAACTCAATCTTGACAGTTGCTTGAACAACTTGGTAAGTAAATCCTATCACATTAGGGTTTCCTGTTTTTGGGATTTTATAGCATCCCGGGATTCCGGGAAAAATCAAGACATTTCCCGGGATCCCGGGATTTCCCGTAGCAGATAATGTTTGCTAATACGTAAATGAACCTCAGTAGTACTTTTTTTTTTTTTTTTTTTTACAGTAACAGGAGCGACTCAAGGGCACAACAAAAAGACAGAGAAAAATACGCTGTTACTTACCCTGTGAAAGTGTGAAATAAGTATTTTTAAATGACATAGAGTTTCCTAATACGTATAGAATATGAATTTTTGCATATTACCATATCCATATAGAAGCTTGGCCAGTAGCACTGGCCACCTCCACTGACCCCCATCAAGCCATCTTGCTCCACAAGACTGTAAACTACACAGAAAATGAAACTATGGAATAACTTTTGCATATATTCAATAACATATGTAAAATAATTTGAACACCATATTCCACAAAACCTAAAAAGTGAATAAATAAATAAATAAATGAAAATACTGAAAGTTCCGAAATGCCCTGAAATTAAAGAAGAGTAGATATTATCTGGTATTTTCCCAGTGTATTTGAATAAAGCTGAAGAAAATAAAAATTCCGTAATGCACATACAAAATCATAAAAAGAATATTTGGAATTTAGGCCCAACTTTCCAGACATGGTAAACGAAAAGAGGGAAGTGGGACTTTAAACACCCAATGCTAGAGTATGGAATGGCCTGTAGATTAAAAAAAAAAAAAAAAAAAAAAAAAAAAATCACAGCTGCAAATGCAGTCATACACCCTAAGAATTATTTTTGAAATAACTCTTCAAAAAGCACAAACAGTCAATACTACGATCACTGAGCGACGACACGTATGTCGTCGCTCGTCAGCTGATTCAGCTCATCGCTGTCTCGCTTCCAGCCCAGGCATCTCTCTCTCTCTCTCTCTCTCTCTCTCTCTCTCTCTCTCTCTCTCTCTCTCTCTCTTTCTCTCTCTCTCTCTCTCTCTCTCTCATACATTTTCGTATTTTTTAGCTGACATAAGAAAAAAATAATAAAAAGAAGTTTCCCGGGATTTCCCGGGATTTCACATATTTCCCGGGAAGGAAAAAAAGCCCATTTATGGCCGGGATCCCGGGATCCCGGGATCTCGGGATCTCGGGATCCCGGGAAGGAAACCCTATATCACATGATGTGGCATTGACTTCGGTGTGTTCCAAAATCTTCTGTACGTCTATGATATAACCTTACAGAAGACTGTATATCTCCATTTGTTATAATCCAATCAATAAGACAAGTAAAGGCCTGTGATCATTGGAATTCTTCAGTTATACAAATAATTCTGGATCTCACTCACAGTAATAAGATACAAAACCTCATGCAACTTCCACTTTTCATGTAAAGGACAATGGATGTAAAAATAATAATAATAATAATAATGAATTTGAGAAACATATGTGAGATTCCGCAGCTTTGGAAAGCAAAGACTGGTAAAAATAAACAATATAAAAGCCTTTTTTGTAACATTTCTAAAGTGTTTGGTTCCAAAACCACAAACACTTTGATATGCTCAGATACATGTTTGCCCTTTATGCTTACAGTGTTGGAACCCGTTGCAACATCTTTTCAATTTGTATCTAAGTGCCTTCACCTTGATACAGTCTGATACACTCCTGCCAACCAGAGCGTGATACTTTTCAGATGTATTTCACATAGTCTGAGATAGGGTTTTACATTATCATTAATTGCGAATAACATTGTAAGTTTCTCAATATTTTGTATAAGTACCATCTCCAGTACGGAGATTAGCAACCAGTTGCTTCCAACTATCTCTGTCCTCAGCCTTTCTCTCTGCATCTCCAAACACGTTGGTTTGACTCTATTCTGTGATGTCATTTCCCCGGGTTCTTTACCTTCCTCTAAATCTCATCTTCCTCCTGGCAAGATCGTCTGCCCATGCTTCATTTTAAAGCAGTAGCATGATGAAGATGCGACCTTTCCTGCTTTATCACAAGAACCCACTGGGCTAGTCTACCTTGCTTCTGGATCAAAGCATCCTGTTTACCAAGGACAGAATTATGGTTAGGTTCGGCCGACCCTGATTAATCGGGACAAGGCCTACGGTGAAGAAGAATTATAGTTAGGTTACATTATCATGGTTGTACAGAGGCTAATAGGTGAAGCAGGCCCCCAGAACTACTCCACCCGCAGAACATCAGCCAAAGTCAGGATAACTGACCTGCCTACCTTTATCCTAGTAACTACGGTTGACCATTGAAACGGTTCTTCCGACAATTTTAGGTACTAATGTTACTGTTGCCCAACATTAGGCTATGTAACCCCATATCTGGGACCCTTTGAGGTGATACCT